TTGTGTTTCCTATTTCAGCAACTTTCACATGTAACTTCATATTGAAGTTGTCCAGAAACAGAAAAGGAGAAATACAACTTGTGTTTCTTGGAATCTCTTCAGTTGGAAGTTCCTCTAGATGTCAGTATTACATAGGGAAACAAAAATATAATAGTCTATGGCAATGAATAAAGACATTACATTATTTAAATGGTAAAACATATGTAATATATATGGTGAAGAAGAAATAGTCTCTAGTGGAAGCTGGCTCCTTGTATTCCTCAGGATTGAACAACAGCTTCTCTTGTTCATCAGGCTGCTGTACCCAGAATATGTTGGCTCATTTTGTGGACATTTGCCACTGACACCCTAGTTGTCCCTAGAGGCAGACGCTGATTGGTCATCACCCTGGAGAGTCCTAAACCAAATTCTCAATTTTACACATTAATGGATTGAAATTGACTGAAACATACCAGTTTTCATGACTAAATCCACATATACTTTTACCATTGTATTCATGCCATCCAGAATAAATCCAGAAAGAAACACAATGCCAATCCACCAGGAATTTTCATTTCAAAAGAGAAGCATTGGAAGACAAAGTAACAAAATAGCTTAAAAACGTGTTGAACTATCTTTTTTGATTAATTTGGATATATGCTTTCAAAATTAGACTTAAATTCTCTCTTTCTTGTCTCTCTTCCATGTTAACTCTAATTTTTTGACCAATAAATATCTATTTCTTTTTTAAAATTATATTTTATTGATTATGCTAATAAAGTCACCCTGATTTTCCCCTTTCCCCCACTCTATCCAGCAGCCCCACTCCCTCAGGCAGTCCCCCCACCATTGTTCATGTTCATGCATCATGCCTATAAGTTCTTTGGCTACTTCATTTCCTACACTGTATTTTACATCCCAATGGCTATTCTGTAACTACCTATTTATACTTTTTAATCCTCTCACCTCTTCACCCATTCCTCCATACCCTTCTCCCATCTGGTAACCATCAAAATGCTCTCTCTATCCATGATTCTGTTTCTGTTCTTTTTGCGTGCTTAGTTTGTTTTTTAGATTCAATTGTTCATAGATATGTATTTTTTGCCATTTTATTGTTCATAGCTTTGATCTTCTTTCCCTTAAATGAATCCCTTCAACATTTCATATAATAATGGTTTGGTGATGATGAATTCCTTTAGGGTTTGTTGGATTTTTTTTTTTTTTTTTTTTTTTTGTCTGGGACACTTTGTATCTGCCCTTCCATTCTAAATGATAGCTTTGCTGGGTAGAGCAATCTTGGCTGTAGGTCCCTACTTTTCATGACTTTGAATATTTCTTGCCAATCCCTTCTAGCCTTCAAAGTTTCTTTTGAGAAAGCGGCTGACAGCCTTATGGGAGCTCCCCTGTAGATAATTAACTGATTTTCTCTTGCTCCTTTTAAGATTCTCTTTTTATCTTTATTCTTTGGCATTTTAATTATGATGTGTCTTGGAGTGGGTCTCTTTGAATCCATCTTGTTTGGGACTCTCTGGAATTTCTGGACTGGTATGTCTATTTCCTTCACCAAATTAGAAAAGTTTTCTTTCACTATTTTTTCAAATAGATTTCTAATTTCTTGTTCTTTCTCTTCTCCTTCTGGCACCCCTATGATGTGAATGTTGGACCTCGTGAAATTGTCACAGAGGCTGAATATACTATCCTCAGTTTTTTGGATTCTTGCTTTCTTCTTGTTGTTCTTCATGTTTGTTTTTGCTTCCTTATGTCCCAAATCATTGATTTGATTCTCGGCTTCATCCACGCCACTGTTGTTTCCCTGTGAATTGTTCTTTATTTAAATTAGTGTATCCTTTGTTTCTGAGTGGATCTTTTTTTATGCCGTTGAGGTCTTCAGTAAGTTCCTTGAGCATCCTTATAAATAGTGTTTTGAGTTTAGCATCTGAGAGATTGCTTATCTCTATTTCGTTTAGCTCTTTCTGGAGTTTTGATCTGTTTTTTTCATTTGTGCCATATGTCTTTGTTTCCTCATTTTGGCGGCCTCCTTGTGTTTATTTCTATGTACTACATAGAGGTGTTTTGACTCCATGTCTTGGTAGGATTAATGTAGTAGGTGTCCTTTAGGGTCCCGTTGCAGAGCCTCCCCTATTGCCCAAGCTGGGTACTTGAGGTGCACCCTTTGTGTGGGCTGAGTACACCCTCCTCTTGTAGTTGAGCTTTGGCTGCTTTTGGCAGATCAATGGGAGGGAACAGTCAGCTGCAAGGAAGGCTGTGACCACTTACCACCAACCTCTGCCCTCTGTGGAGGATCAGCTGTGCAGGGGGAGAGTGGTGGTGCTCTGATGTAGTCTGTAGCTGTCCACTTGGTTCACTGGCCCAGGGGTTTCCTGGGTGGTGCAGGCCAAGGTCAGCCCTCATCTATGTTTTGCATGAGGCCACACTGCCCAAGCTACAAAGCAATCTGAGAAGGCTGCTACTTGTGCTGGGCTTGGAGATTCCCAGGCAAAGCCAAGCTGTGAATCTAGGCTGGTTGCTGCTAGTGTTAAGTCTGGGACTCACTGAGACCAGCTGTTGCTTGTTTGAGAGGATTTGGGAAGTTTTGCAGTATAAGCCAGGACCAGCCATTCATATGGAAAAGCAGTTTGGGTGGGCCCATAAGTTGTGTGGGGCAAAGTCTGTGGGAATCTCCAAGGCAGGTCTAACAGTGTTAGCCAGGTTGATGGAGTCTCAGATATGGCACCAGCTTGCTAGTTCTGTGGCTCTGCTGGGAGATGGTTTAGAAAAGGGACAGTGGCCTCTGCTTGCCCTGATGCCAGACACTTCAGTTTCTTTTTTTTATGCCACTGGTATCTTTCAAGCTGCTACCCCAGTGCTTGAGCTCAGAGGAAGTGAGTCTGAGTAAGTCCATGTGTGGTTTCTTTAAGAAGAACTGCTTGGGGTTCTAGCAGTTTATTCCACCAGCTCAATCCCCACAGCCAGAAATTGTGGGGATTTACCTTCTTGGCACTGGAACTCTGCGCAGGGGGGGGCTTGGTGTGGGGCTGGGACTCCTTGCTTCTGAGGCATCCCTCCTGAATTTTTATCTACCTCACATGGATGACCACATACCACCACACAGGGACCAGCCTATTCCGCATCTGCACCCCTCCTACCACTCTGGATAGATGTGGTTTCTTTAATTTCGTAGTTGTTAGACTTCTGTTCAACTCGATTTATGACAGTTCTGAGTGGTGGTGGTTCTCTATTTTAGTTGTAATTTTGATGATGTTGTGTAAAAGGGTGAGCCATGTCTGTCTATGCTACCATCTTAACTGGAAGTCTATTTCTTCACTGTACTAATTTGTTTTCATTTTATACCCTTTTGCATTAATCTTATTTTTGTTTAATCTCCAGTAGGTTGGCTGTATATAGATATTCAATAAATATTACCAATATATACCTTGGCTATAATCATATATTTCTTTTTTCAGAGTGACGGTACAATGAAGGAATTAAGAGCACAGAGTGAAGTAGATAATTGAGTTAGAATCTTGATTATACCATTTCTGAACTATACAACCCTGTGAAATTACCCAACTTCATTATAAAATAGAGTTAATAGTACCTATCCCAAAGGGTTGCTATGAGGAACAACTGAGTTAATAACATAACAAGAATAGAAAAGTGCCTGGTATGTAGTCAGTGCTTGGTCTATGTTAGTCACCACCACCACTATAATCATTATTACCATCATCATCACCACATTATCATTATCACGATGTCTCAGTCTTTGGGTAAACATCAGGAATTCAAAGATTAAACCAGTCTTCTTGGTTATTTGAGGAAAAATGAAAAGAAGCTTAATAAAACATTGCAAGGAATGCTGGACTGGGGTATGTGCTGAGTGCTGCACAAGCTCAGGTAAGGGGGCCACTGGCTGGTGCCTGAGGAGGCCAAAGGACTTGTCCCTTACAAAGGGAGAAATAGGCATCCATCATCCCTACATTGTCACTGAGAAGAGAAAATTACAGTCTTTGAGGCTGTAATCTCTAATTTTGTTTTTTTACAGACTTACTTAATATGCCTCTGTGTTTCAAGGTCCCTGTCTGAAAAATGGAAATGCTCCAAACCAATTTGCAATTTGTCTTGAAATCTGTGAGCTGTGCTAACATGGCATTTCGTGCTTTCAAGTCACCCTAAGGCAAATTTTGCTCTCTTTTCCAATGGAAAAAAAGGCTGATTCTTTGGATATCTGAAAAATTTTATTAATTACAATGTATAACTTTAATATTTATGATAATTTGGGCAGATTGGTTTACCATTCATGCAGTATTTAAAGAGGGTTTGCTAAGTTAATTCAGAGAAGCCAGGACTGTGAGAAGAATGTTTATCTGCTTAGGAAAGGGGCCATCTGTTCTAAGCAATGTAAAAGATCCATTTGTAAAAGCTTACTTTAGTCTTCTGCTTTCTGGTTTACAAAACCCAATCACAAATGTTGTCTCATTTTCATTTGATTTATATATGAACCACATCAAGACAATATAAACAGAGCTCAATGATGACTTGACTATTATCAATATTCTTTAATCTATTCATAAAGATTGGCCTTTTTGTATAAACAGTGCCAGAGTTTTACAGGATTTCTTTTAAAATAGTGAGTTCATTTGTCTTCTAATATTGTAGTCTATATAGAGTTCCATTAATTCAGACTGTTCCACCCACTAAATACTATTAATTTTTTCCTGTGTTTGAATCACATAATATATGGTTCTCAGTCTGGGGTGATTATGCCCCCATGGGATATTTAGCAATTTCTAAAGACATTCTGAAAGTTACAACTGGGAGAGAGGATACTGTTAACATCTGGTTGGTAGATGCCAGAGATGCTGCTAAACATCTTATAGTGCTCATGGCATTCCCTGCAATAAAGAATTATCCAGCCCCAGGTGTCAGTACTGGGTTATACTCTGGGTGTTGCTGAGTACTGGTTGAAGCTGAGAAACCCTGATGTGATATGTAATCTCAATTACTCAATTGTGTATCCTCAGGCTGAGGAGAAGGTGTGGTTATACTCTGACCTGAAGGAAACGGCACCTGTCAAAGGAAAGAGGACATCAGCTCTCACAGGTAACAGCTTTAGAAGATTAGATATTTTTGAAGAAGGAAAGCTCTGTTGTAAAAGTTGTTATTGTTCTTATTCAGAGGAAGTTACACATTCATAAAGTCCCATGTCTGGAGAAGTGCTTTTTTAATATCTTTATTAGATTGGCTTTGGGTCCTACAAACTAGAAAAGGTTACAAACTAGAAAATCTTTGAGAATTTAATTGTCAGTTAGTAGGGCATGTTCAACTTCTACTTTGCGTTTCCAAAGCTTATCTCTGTTGATAAAGACAAACCTGAATAGAGATGCCATTATGTGAAGATAAAATTATACTGATCGTATATTGTAATACATCCCGTATTAAAATAATTTGTATTCTGTGGTGGCTTTTAGATAGATCTTCCCAGAAGAACCAGCTGTCTTCTGACAAAGAATATGTTAATAAACTCAACAAGAAAAATTCTGAGAAGACCAATGCCTCTCTAGTTCAGAGAAATTTTGCCACATTTCATACAAGAAGACAACAAGATGAGGTAGAAGATTTTGTTCTAAGAAAGCCCATAGAGCCAAGAGAAGATACAGATAGAAGAGACATTTTATGCACACAGAGAGTGAAAAGACAAGAAAACAATAGTGCTGGAGATGATAAACAAGTTACTGTGGATAAAACTGAATGTCCAGTGTTCAAAGAAAAGGAAAAGGGGCTTCATTCTAAGGAAGATACCAATGAAAGAGAACCTGAGAAAAAAAGAGGGTCATTGATTGCAAATGAAGCAGTGATGGACAAGTGTTCAAATAAAAAGCAAAATGATGATAAAACTAATGGTGATCAGTTCTGTAAAAGGTAGGGGTAAAAATATTATACATCTACAGGTGATTTTTTTGTAGATCTACATGTCATTGCAATTTAAGGGCATATCAAAGGGATAACTGAAGTAAATTTTTAAGGCAATGGTTTAGAAACCAGTTTTCACTTGTGTAGATTTTTTTTAGCCATGTTTTCATGCCATTATTTTTTCTTCATGCCTGCAACATGTTTATGCATTGCATTGTTTTCTAAGCTTCCTACCAACCCAAAGACAAAGATAGTGATTATTAGTACTCACATAAATAAAAATTTTTAAAAGATCAAGTAAAATTTTTTTTATTTTTAAAATGTAGAGCATATCCTTTCGAAGATCAAGAATTGAGTGATGATCAGATTTATCTGTAAGTTAAAATTTAATTCTTAAAAAGTTTACCTATCTCTTTATGCATGATAAATTGGCTATTTCCCCCCAAACACTGTGAGGATTGAGTAAGAAGGAGATTATTGAATGAATCCTACTCAACTGCAAAATTTCACGTATAAATGTAGGTAATTATGTAGCTAATTAAAATTAATTATTCTGCACAATGATGATCCACAGAATCTTTTTGGAATACAAAATATCCAAACATCTATGTCTTTTTTTTAGGGATTGAAGATATAATTCTTATTTAACTTTTAATACAGCATTTGAAACCTAGTCATAGAGAAGTCTAATTTTCCAAGAATCAAATACTATGTTTACTAAGAAAGTCTATTGCCTCAAAGATGTGCTTCACGTTTCAGGTTCTTGCAAACCTGAAATGATTTCAATACTTTCACCCATAAAGGTTAACTCTCACTGCTATTATTCAGAGAGATTATAACTTCTTTTTATTGTGCATTAATTTAGTTATCTCTCTTTTTTATAAAGGAAGTGAAAAAAATAAAAATCAAGTCAGTTAAGTATTCATGAAATGACTACTTTTGTAAAGGGTCAATGGAATAATTTGGGGTCCCAATGAGGTCACTGGGGAGATTCTCTGGCACCCTAATTGCCTACACCCATTGCTCTGCTACTTAGATCTGATGGGGAAGCGTAGTACTCCATTTTATCCCCAAACAACGACACTGCCAACTGTCTCTCATGAAGCTTCAGTCCCTTCACCAAAGAACTATTTTGAGAAAGCTTTAGGTAGCAATTTGACCAAAACTATGGGAGCTGCAGCTGAGTTTTATTTTCCAGGTGTATCACCAATGTAAAAGCCATTTCCACATCACAAGTCCTGGGAAATGCAGCAATAAGACCCATTTTCCAGGATGCTGAACAAACAGAACATGCTATCAGTAGTAAGTGGAGTGTGATGGAAGAGCGATTCATCAAAGAGGACAGCAAAAAGTGCAGAACAGATGTAGCGGGGACAGCTGAAGGACACACATTGAGAAGGACACAGGAAACCAGACAAGTCCAGGGGCACTCACAAGACCAACCCCTGGAGTCCGCTGGAATTCAGACCTCCAGGCAGCAAGATCTGGTGACTCCTTTGGGTAGGAAATGGATTTGTTTCAGCCTTTTCAAGCTCCTTAACCTCATCCACAAGCATTTCCAGCTAAATTTCACTGAGCCTAACAGCCTGAAGGAGACATTATGCCATATTGATTCTATTTGTGAATGTAACTTGATCACTTTTTTGATCCAAAGAGATGAATGTCACCAAGAGAATTCTTTTGTGACTTCTTTATGATGTGAGAAGTGAATGTCCATATCAAATCAGATTCCCAGATATTTATATTATCTCAATTAAAAAATATTAACACTTGGAAGAGTGCCTAACACAAGTGTTCAAGAATTTTATGCTGAATAAATACAAATTTTTGAAAGCAAAGTTATTATCTATTCACCTCCATTTGTATCTTTTGTATGCATGTAAGAAGGTCCATGCAGTAGATGCTAAATAATGAATAAATGGGGAAATGAATAGGTTCACAGCAAGCAAATTTTAACAACAGTAATCATGGAGAAGTAAAAAGAATACTGGAAGAATACAATTTTGTACTTTAGAACTAATCCTGAGGTGAACTATAGTTTAAACACTTAGGATAGAAGGTAGAAAGTGGGAGAAATTTGAGAGCTGTGGAATCTATAGTTAGCCAGTTTTACTGGGCTTTTTATTTCCAGCCAGAAAAAAAAATCCATCTTTGTGCCTTAAGTGTATCTTAAATAAAGGCTAAAATATTTTGGAAAATAATATGTAATAATGTCAAACATTTCAATGACATGAAGGAAGTTTTTACTTTTTTCTCTCTATATTTGTGGTTCTTAAGAAATAGAACAAACAATATCTCATGTTTGAATTTAAATGGCCTCAGGCCTGGAAGTGTAACCTGTTTGGGCTGTATTGAGGTTGGAGATTTTCAACTATTTTGATATTTCTAAAAGTTATCCTGAAGATAGTATGAACTATAGGCTAGTGGTCGTGACATTCTTTCTCAAAGATGTCAGGCGTTACCTTTGTGAATCACAGATCATAATATGAAATGAAAATTTATACTCCCTGGATCATTAGGAATAAAACAGATGGCCTGTTGTATTTTATTATTAAATGAGCAAAATTTCACTCTGAGGCCCAATGCTTATGCCATAAAAAGTTTTGACTGCTTAACAGATGGCCCTTCTTTCCCTCTCACCTTCTAGATGACTGCCTGGCTCCTCCTGCACCCTTCCATCACCGGATTGTAACAGCTAAACAGACAGCCATCAACAGTTTTTATACTATGAGCAGAACAGAAATTTTAGGAGGGTAAGTTGTGCTTTATTTTAATACACTTTCAGCAATAGAAGAGAACTTTCAAAGAGGCTGACTCTAAGGGTTTCATAAATATTTGCCAATCTCAGCCTGAGAATCAGAAACGTCATAAACAAACATTTTAAGGGATTTTAACCGCTTCTGAAAAGTCATCATTGATGCCAGAAAGGTTAATGTGGTGACAGTGACTAAACTCAACATTTAATATCTTGTAATTTAAAGCCTAAATTATAAAGTTTATTACCATAAGCATATATATAAAGTAGGAAGAGGAAATCAGAAAATTTGTACAAATATGTATTTATTTAACAACACATTGGAAAATATCCATAGCTACTATAATACATGTATCTGCATTTGGTCATTGAGTGTATGGTTATTTGTTCTTCCTCTTCCCATTATTTATTTCTTTTGCCCTTTGCCACACAGAACCATCTGAACTTTTTCCTCCTCAGCTGGCTGAGCGTGGAGAACTCCCCTTGAGACTGTGAGGATGAGCTGAGGGAGCAATGGGAATTCTGAAACATGAGTAGGTGCCATGGAGCCTGAAGTATTACTGCTTGTGGCAGCTTATTTGGATCTTTAAGGACTTCAGTGGCAAACTAGCAACTGTTTCTCTAAAGGAGAGCAGTTGTTTGGCAGAAGTAGCTTTGAAACTGTACCCAGGTTTGTGCTGTGCTTCTGGTGGAGGTTGTCAATGGTTTCTTAAGAAGTTCCTTTCCACCCATTCGGGCAGTGTTGGATCTTTTTGGTCACACTGCAGTCTGGACCAGCTATTGGTCATCTCTTGCCTGGGCTCTACTCAGAACTGGTGTCATACTCACTTGGTAAATGAGTTAGAAGAAGACAATCAAATGTATATTGTGTGCCTTAGAGTGCAAAAAGAACATCAGCTGCTGTATCTCCTTTTCAGTAATAAGAGGTTCCAGATGCAGCAAATTATTTTTCAGTTTTGGCAAGGGACCACTGAATCCCAAAAACTTGCCTGCATTGTCAGGCCCCTAAATTTTCCTGGAGTTCACCTCCCATCTTGTTGGAGTATTTATAATCCCAACTCAACATATTCAGTTAGAGTGAATTTATCAGTATGGTGGAACAGCAGGAATACTGGGAGGTGGCTTAATCATTCAAGGCACTTACATAATAAATCATGTGAGGCAGTTGGGGTAGTGCTGAAGTTAAACATGATATGGAACCTCTATTGGGCCTGGCAGTTCTGGTGGCTTTTGCTAGTCTAGAGAAAAAAGCATTTTCTTAATCAGCAGCCACATGTGAGGCTCCTGGGACTGTGTTCACGTGTTCCAGTAAAGAATGCCTGAGTGGTGGTTGGAGTTGAAGGCATCACTTAGCTTGTTTATGGACCCATCTGATTCTGCCTGCAGTGTGTGGCTGAGTTGAATGGGATGTGGTGGTAGACATCGCCCTGCCTCTGTTGGTTGTTGCGAAGACCCTCACTTCTGCAGTCCTCCAAGGACTGCAGTGGCCTTAGGTTGACAATGCTGTTAGGGAAGATTCCCTGTTGCTCCTGCTGTGATAGCCACCAGTGTACAGGCAGGCTCCAGTGTTCTATCTGTTTTCCTAAATTAGGAATCAAGGCAAGCAAGTCAGATTTAAAAAATTGTTGATGAGGTTGCATTTCTGTGTGTGATTAATTTGTAAGAAATTACAAAGTTTTAGGTTACATATAAATTACCCAAGGAATGTTGTGAAATATAGATTCTGGGGCCTCACCTCAGACTCCTGTCTCAACAGGTGTGGGGTAGAGATGGGAAACATGTATTCCTAACCTTAGAAGATTCTGATGCCAGTGACCCACAGACCACACCCTGACACTGTTGCAGACATTTACTGGCTACAACAGTTGCAAACTCAAAAAGACAAATGCCTAGGACAACTGCCTGGTCTACTTGGCAGTGATTTGAGCCAGATCTGGTAGAGACAGAGTCCCATGCTGCACCTCATCCTCTTCTTTGGCAGGGGGCGCTTTGGCCAGGTTCACAAGTGTGAGGAGAAAGCAACAGGTCTGAAGCTGGCCGCCAAGATCATCAAGACCAGAGGCAGGAAGGATAAGGTAAAGGCCCTGCAATGTGGTATCTCCTTGTTGTTGTCTTTACTGTACTAAGTGTCTGTCCCTCTTCTCAGGATGAAGTGAAGAATGAGATCACTGTCATGAACCAGCTGGATCACGTGAACCTCATTCAGCTCTATGATGCCTTTGAGTCTAAGAATGACATTGTCCTGGTCATGGAGTAGTATGTGTTCCTTTCTTCTCCCTCTTCCACTTCCCTGCAAAGCTGTGCACACATGTTCAAAGTCCCTCAGCACCAGTGACCATGGGGTGCAGCTCTGTCCTACCTCAGAAGTTGCTAGATCCACACTTGTTACATGGCTGGTTTTGACTTGTGGGTAGTAGATAATCTCATTAGTTTCAGGAAGGAAATTATTTAGAAATAAATATGTTTATATATAATTTTATTAATAAGAAGTAGGATGACAACATATGTCTAACTTTATATGTGAACTATACTGTCAAAAACCCAGCTTAAATATTATTCTGGTTAACCTGGAGGAAAGTGATTTTTGAACTGCATTTCACTTTCGCCCTAATCATGAATACAAAGTTCATGTCAAACTTTTAATAATTAAGGCTAAGAATCTTCCATTTAAAATCAGCTTTATAAAAACTAAATACATGTTTAGTCAGAAAGTGAGTACTTCTAACACTGAATCAGTGATGTGATTCAGTTCATTTTTCCCTCCTCATTTTGGTTTCTTTTTTCATTGTTCAATAAGGAATTTTGAATACTAAATATTTAACATCAGCCACATAGAAGGACTTTATCACTGAAATTAGTCTGAGGAGAGCCTTCCTGACTCTTGGCTGGTATTTGGAATTTCTCTCTCTGCCTTCTTGGAGTCCTCTTAATCTTCCATGTATGTTAGAAAATGTCAGATGTGGACTCACTGAAGAACTGTAGCCACTGGTTCAAAGAGAATTGGAGACTTTGTGAAACTGATGATGGGTAAGACAAGGGCCTTCAACCTGAGTCATCTAACTGAGATAGCAAAGAAGGCAGAGAAATAGCTGTGTGTGTACCTCTGTTGCAAGAGTTAGAAGAGCTTAAACTGCAAGAAAGGCATGTTCATAAAAGAATCATGACTCCAGACTCCACTCTTCTTCCCTCTGCAGTGTGGATGGAGGTGAGCTGTTTGACCGGATCATTGATGACAACTACAATTTGACTGAGCTTGATGCCATCCTCTTCATCAAGCAGATATGTGAAGGAATACGACACATGCATCAGATGTACATTCTCCATTTGGACCTGAAGGTAGAGTATGTTTTGTATCCCAACCTTTCCCCTCATGTGGATCAGAGGGCCCCATCAGATACCACACACCATGTTGGGACACTGATGCTGCCACTAGGTACATATTCAAGAATTAATAAAAGTCCAGATTTTTAACCTCCTCTCACCTTTCCCAACTTCTGTCACGTCTTAACATTTACATGTCTCCTTTTTTAGAGACAACTATTCAGATTCTTGTAACTTGCCTGTGTTAAAGGAATCCACATGGGAGATAATTTCCTTCCTAAAACTTTAGAATCAAAACCACCACCACCATCACCAACATGGTACCCTTGTGTTCCTGTCATTGTATGTTAAGTATGTGGGGGGATTTTACAAACTCAAAATGTTCTAGTAGTAGTCACACTTTTCAGCTCTCCAAGAGTCCCCAGCATTCTCCTAAAACTCATTCAGGAAGCTCTGGACTTTATGGACTTGTTTTTCTGTGGACCTGCTAGAGCATTGAGGAGTAACCAATGGCAGAATGAGATATAGGGCACCCAGAATAATAGTGGTAAAATGTTAAGGAGCAGATAAAGGCAGTGGCAGTGGGGCTGGACACCACACTGGAAATGGTGGAAAGGTTTTGTGAGGAGCTGGAGTCCAAATGTCTTCCTTTCTTCTCTTATTTAATGACTCTTTCCTTTTGATTTCTCTCCCATTATGAAGTCCCTAGAACTGTACTTAGTTATAACCAATGAAAGACCCAGGGCTAATAACTGGCCAGCTCTGATATTGGAGCTTAGCATCATGAAGTACATCTTCTGTGTGGCTAAGTCAGTTTCTCATTTCCCTGTTTTCACAGCATGGCAGTGAGATAAAGTATTCCATATAACATACCATCTATGGTAAGTCACCAGGGGTTGTAGAGCTAAACACATTTAACTTCCTTATACCGTGTCCCATTGGACTCTCTTCCTGTAACTTGGCTTCCCTCACTGCTTGGTTTATGTGCACTGCCTCGGTTTATGTGCACTGCCTCTCGCATCTACAAGGCAGGAGTAAGTGGTATATAAAATGGTAAAGTCAGAGGTTAAAAATCATTAGCAAAGCCCTTGGCTATAAACTGAGTTTGGTAATGTGTATTTTCATGGAGCATTTCATTGAGTGTGGATATTCTACAGATATTCCTAAAGGGATTTGATTGGCAACTGGAACTAGGACCTGACCCATCATAAGTCAAACAACTCCATATGTGGCTTCATAATGCTGATTGAAAATGAGCAATTTTAGTTATGGCTTGTATGTAAAGATAATAATATAGGAGACAGCTGGATGGGTCATTAAGGAGCAGTCATCCCTTTCAGAAAGCTCCTTGGAAGGAAAAAGACCAAAAATATTAGGAGTGCTTGTCATATGTAGAGATTACAGGTGACTTAAAAATGGCTTCCTTTATATTTTTCTATATTTTATAAATCTTATTCATAATTTTAAAAAATTATCTCTTGGTGTGCCCTCAAAGCTGTTTCTTTACATTCTACATTTTTTTATGTTGTAGTAGTTTTTGATAACTGGACCCCTTTACACATGATTGATCAGTTATTTAAGCATAAAACCAAATGTTCTTACATAGCACCCACTTCTCTATAAATAGTTTTTACTCATAGACATCTGTTTTAAAGATATTTTAGAAAAGAGCTTCCAAAGACATTATACCTAACCAAATGGACTATGTTATTTCATAAAGTGTTTTCTGAGTTTCTGATCTCATTTGAACTTCCTCTCCACCCAGATGGGGGTGAGGGGCAGCCATGGCCCCACCTAAAGGATGGGACATGGGATCCTGGTGATCCAGTGGGTCAGCTGATGCCCTGCAGCAATCAAGGAGGGGTAGGGATGGATTGGAGCTTGAGAATTCCAGGAAATTTGTTGAAAATTTTTTCTTTTATTAATAACCTTAACTTGAAATTAAATCTCTTATATATCTCTGGCCTCAGTTTTTGGTCCTAATAAGTGTAGGTATGTTTGTAAGACACTCTATAAACACTTGGTTACAGTGCTCTGTCTTTGTTTCTCTGTCTTCATCCCAAGGCTGTCAGATGGGCAGGGCAAAGTCTTACCAGAGTCAACCTCCAAGGAAACATTTAGTCAAGGGTTTTAGGCATGGAGACCGAATTCAGCAAAACTTTGGGATTGCAGAGAATGAAGAATGAAAGCCTTCTTTTGACGTATGACTTTCCCGTAAACTAAGCACAAAGGAAAATCTGGAGGCCAGGAGCGTTTACATTATATTGCATATTCAGGGTGGCTGTCTGAATGAATCAGGCCATTTCTCTTAGAAGTCATAAATCCTTGGGTAAAATATTCTTCCAAGAATGAGAAATTCATACTTAATAATTTTAGGAGGGCAAATTTCAAGCCTGAGACACCTCCCACCAGTGCATTTAGAAAGTACTGAAGTAGTCCCCCCTTTTTTTCTTCCCTCAAGGAGGCCTCTGCCTGAACTCACACATCATGGTAAACTGCAGAACCAGGGAGGGGAACAGTCAGGGTAATGCAAGTTTGGCATAGTACCCAAAACCTCGTCTACCACATAATTAAAAGAGAAAATACCCACACAGACAAGCCAATCCCAAAGTGAAAGGCCTGATATGTTTTTCCTGAGCATCGCTGTATTTTTAGTTGTGGTTCAAGGACAATTTGAGTGAATGATGGTTGTTTTCATTGCTAATGTGTCTCCTTCTCCTGGCAGCCTGAGAATATCCTGTGTGTGAATCGGGATACTAAACAAATAAAAATTATTGATTTTGGATTGGCCAGAAGGTATGTCTATTTAAACATAGGTGTGTAAATGGAGTTAGGGAGCATGATGGGTGCTCTTTCTTTACAAAGATAAATCTGATAGATGTACCCATTGGTTTCATATCCTTATTTAGATTTAACTTAACAAAAATTGTTTCAGCTTTCTTTCCTGACTGTCAGAGTTGAATGTTTAGAATTTTCTACAGTGCATGCAAGAAAAATAGAAAAATTAAAGTCTAATACAGTGAAGTTATTGAATTTGAAAATATTAATTTACAATTTGTAAGAGTTTGTCTTAATCGTTTATATTTGTCCCATCAGTAAAGATATTTACTTTAAGGATTAATAAAAAAACACATGTATAAAGAAAAAAATAAAAAATGTAAACAATATTGCAAAGACTTCTGGCATGCCTAAGGTTCTTAAGGGACCAAGAATTTATATGGACTGTAACACATTAACGATGAATATAACCTAGATGTTTTAAATTATTGCATTTAATTTATTCATTAATAAAGGCTTATTCAATACATCTATATGTCAAGGGTCATGTAAGTTGTTCTTTTCATATTCTATAATTCAGGTGTTCTAATTATTCTGAGTGGCTTTTCTCATAATTGTTTCAGGTTACTAAGATTTTTACTGTATGAATTATGACTTAAAAATATTAGAACTTTTTCACAAGTTTTTGACACTATGTGATTTCCTTTAAAGTCTATTTATTTTAAATTTACTGTATGGCTAAAGTTATTTTGTCTTATAGAATGTATCTTTTAAATTTCCATAATCTTTGGTTGACACTTTCTATCCCTCTACTTTTCTACATTCCAGATACAAACCCAGAGAGAAGCTGAAGGTGAACTTTGGAACTCCAGAATTTCTTGCCCCTGAAGTTGTGAACTATGATTTTGTTTCCTTTCCCACTGACATGTGGAGCGTGGGGGTCATTGCCTATATGTTGTAAGCAGATCTCCAATTTCTCTGATACTTATTCTTAATCATCATGCATATTCTATGAAGCTTTGCTACTTTGAATAAAAGCTCTAATTTAGGTCTTTTAAAAATAAATAACTTTGTACCATATGCAGTTACTTTCTAGACTCTGTTGAATCCTGGGGGTCTAAGAAAAGGGTCACTTTATTCCTAGGATACCACCCAATGTGTTGAAAGTAAAAAACAAACCAACAAACCATCCCTGTGTCCTGATCTCCTAAATGGTAATGCTAGCCTTACTACTCAGAGGTGACACTCTGGTGTTTGCCATATGTGTCTGTGTCAAACTTTTGCAGCTCTGTAAATGCTATAAGAGAAAGTGTGCTGGTCTGTGGGGTGCACGTTCAGGTGCAGCTGATGTCTGTGTAACTGAAGTTCTTTAATAGGAGTGGAGGTGGGGGAGGAAAGCATCTTTTTCATTGCAAAGGTATAGGATAAAATTACATTTAAATTTAGGTTATTTGCTTTCTTTCAATTTTAAATGACAGCACCGAAAAATAAAGCAACCTACCTGTTAAGGGTTTGAAGCTGTTTAAAAATACTCACTCTGGACTTTGTCTCTTGTAGACTTAGTGGTTTGTCCCCCTTCCTGGGTGATAACGATGCTGAGACCCTGAACAATATCCTGGCCTGCAGGTGGGACTTAGAGGAGGAAGAATTTCAAAACATCTCAGAGGAGGCCAAGGAGTTCATCTCCAAGCTTCTAATTAAGGAGAAGAGGTAACCCAAGTTCATCCTGGGCCCCAGAAGAAATTGGGGTAATAGAGGAGCAGTATACTACCAGGCATATTAGAATTCATGTCAGATAACTATTGAATTCCTTTAGTAAAACCTTTGATGCCTGTGCAAAGTTGTGAATAGGGAGGGTTTGATGCTCTTAACCAAATTTACTGGTATACAGTACTGCTTTGATCACGAGGCTTGAATGGAGCTGCAAATTACCCCTCCTTTGATTTCTGTAATAAGGCTCTAGCAATTAGGGGCTCTTGCTCGGTCTCAGTGGACTCACCCTCAAAATGAAGGGCTTGGGATAAGTTAGTTCTATGATACCTTTCATATTTACAAAGCTCATATACAGCTCTGTAGAGCTTAGCACTTGACTATCATTTCACCTGAGAACCTACAATGGGCCAGACTATGCCATGTGCTTTATGGAAATTATCTCTGTCAATTTCCACCTAATTCCATAAGGTAGAAATTATCATTACTACTTTGTGGATAAAATTCAGTAGCTTGCTCAAGATTATACAGCTAATAAGTGGTAGGACTTATAATCAAACACAAGCCTACCTTCCCCCAACGTCATGCACTTAACTGTTACACATTACATTGCCTTCTGTTTTCTGTCATGATAAGACAACATTTACTTAAAATTTAGTGGATGAAGAAGAGTGGGCTTGCATTTTAAAATTATGGGTAGAGAAAGGACATCACCATTACCTTGGCAAACACACTGTTTCAAATCTAAAACATACTACAATAGGTAATTTTTAAGATTCTCAGGGCCAACAATACTTGCTTTATTGTTTTGTGATCCATTTGGCTTTTAAGTTACTAATATACATGGCTGGGAGCCACTACATAGCAGGGTACAGGGCGGGGGCTTGTAACAAACAACATGCGGAAAGGGTGTGGGGAGTGCCTGACACACAGAAGTTTCTTTTCCTCAAGCAATTAATTAATTACCTTCAATCTACCAGGAAATATGTTTCATACATTGAGGGAAAATGTATAGAGCCCAGTTCCTGCCTTTGGGTAACTTATGATCTAATAAAAGAGATATGCGTTTTTAAAAAGATGTAATACAATGTAGGTAATGCAAAGATAGAGTATCTTGACAAAGGCCAGAGCTGAGTCCTAAAAGGTGAGGAGGACTTAGTGAGGCTGATGTCTCAGTCTTAGAGAAGGGGTAATGAATAGACATTGGTTTTATTTTTAAGGAAATGCACATTAATGAAAATCTCATCTTAATATTTTTTATAATACTGAATGCCAAGAAGTGGAGAAAGGGAGAACTATCAAATATTTGGTAGATAAGAAATACACATTTACTGAGAACCTATTTAGAGATACAGTGTGTCCTCACTTAATGTCATTCATAGGTTCTTGGAAACTCAACTTTAAGAAAAATGACATATAACAAAACCAATTTTACCTTAGGCTAGTTGATATAAACAAGAGTTAAGCTCCTATGACATATTTCTGGTCATAGCATCAACAAACTTCTAAATAAAGACCCAAAACACCAAAAATAAAGGAGAGCTATACATATATTAAGAAAAATTAATAAAAACACAGTAATGATTTTTCACCACTTATTGCACTTCATGGTGGAAAGTGGCCAGAGTCCATTCAGCAGCTGAGGGCTCAAGCAGGACCTACCCTGGACAGGACGCCCTTCCATTGTAGGCACATCACACACATACCCACTCTCACTCAGACTTGAACAGTGTAAACGTGCCAATTCACCTCACATGCACTGCTCTGGGATGTCAGAGGAAACCAAAGTCCCCAGAGAAAACCTTCGCAGTTGTGGGGACAGAGGGCACACTCCAAAGACAGTGGCCCTGGCAGACAGAGATTTTTTTTCTCATCAATATTATAAGGAAATGACATTGACCAAAATGACATTATTCAAGGACCTGTTATATACTTTTATGTGTTATCTGACTTAATCATCGGGATGTCCTGAGGTGCATCGCTATTATCACCATTATTTGACAGGTTGAAAGCAGTGAAGAGGTCACAAAGCTCCTTAGAGTAGGTTGAGAGCCAGGCCTGGTCCACTTCTGCCCTCATGTCCTTCCCGCTCCCTTAGTCTGAAGGTTGTCTTAATATCGAAAGGGCCACAAATACACCCTTGGGCAGACTGACAACTGGCTAAGTATTCAGGTCAATATTTGAACTTAAGGCCAATGTCAAATACCACTATCACAGAATATGAGACACTCTCTCTCAGTATTTATATTAACTTTCCAGCTATTTCTCTATTTAACTCTTTACAACTTCTTAATTAAAAAGTTAGTAATACATATTCAGCAGTTTTAATATGTAAATTGCTTTTGCAATCATCAAGAATCATTGTAACATGTTCTTCTTACAATAATAAACATACATTTATTCAACTGACTGATAAAAGTTCAATTTATGAAACTTAGACATTACATCAAGAATGGCTACTTATTGTCAACATAAGAAATGTCCAAACCTGTAAGAATTTTTAGGAGTTTATTTGAGTCAAACTGATGACAATTACTGGGAAGCAAAACCTCAAAGGATTGAGAAAATGCTTTGGAAAATGGCAGTTTTGCACTTTATTTTATTCATTACAATCAAAAGAGAAGATGCAAGTGGGTTACATGAAGTCCACTGGGTGATTGATGGAATGCAAAGCAGGGAAACCTCTGAGACTACATAAAAAAATAAAATGATTGACATATACTCCTTTTACACGAGTAGTTACAGGATAGTTAATAGTCACAATTAACATGATAACAATAACAAGGAGAAGATTTGTGGTCCCCTCTGATGTGGTGCCTGTGCTTTGAGGGGTCCAGAAAAAGGAAATCTGACATTCCAGAGGTGTGTTATTGTAGAAGCAAAAAGGCAATAGGCTCAATTAAGGTAAAGATTGACTTTTGCCATGGAAGATTCCAGCCTAGGACATGACTGCCCACCATGACCTGCTTTTAGTTAGAAAATTTTTTAGCTGCAGACCACCCTATGTGGTTACTTTAGGTCTCCAGGTTTGCAAAGCCATCACGCAGGTCTCCCCTCAGCTTGTTGGGCTTAACATGTGGTCCCTTTTCTTCCACATTATATTTAATGGTAGTTGTTCAGTTATTAACAAGAATTTTTAACTTTTTGCCTTGATTTGTCTTACTCATGTTGTTACCCTGGTTGAATTAGATGGTAACCTACACAACACTGATAACAATTCCAGAGAAGTCAGATTGACGCTGAATTTAACATTCGGCATCTGGTCTCCCAAAGGCAGTGGCCAGAGATGAGGCTGAATGGCAGTTGCAGAGCTCATTAGGCGTGTTCCCAGTAGTAACCTTCTGAATTTCCCTTTAGTTGGAGAATAAGTGCAAGTGAAGCTCTCAAGCACCCTTGGTTGTCAGATCAAAAGCTCCACTCCAGACTCAAAACACAGGTAACCAGGGTTCTTTGTTTTTCCTCTCTTAGCTGGTTTCAGTCTTTTGATGATCAGATGATAGAAGTGTTTTAACCTTAAGAGAAGTTCCTTCTAATTCTTTTTCTCACAGCCTTTAAATCTTGTGCTAGTATTAAATTGCTTCTATTGCGCAATTTGTTTTTAAAAATAAATGTTATTATTTTTATTGTTAAATCATTGTATTCATTATAAACTATCCTATGCATACATACTTAATGCGCACACACACACACACACACACACACACACACACACACACACACGGCCTAGATTATATAAACATAAAGTTTGGGAGACTATATGGTCATGAGTCCTTAAAACAGAACTCAGAATTCTAACTTCTACACTTACTTTGTTTAGTCTGCTCCGGGTATCAAAAACTATAATATTCAGCCTGGTGCAAATATTTTAAAAAATTTTTTATTGTTGTTCATTGGTGCAAATATTAATATATTGTAATTATATGTGAAGGATACTCTTACCAAAGACTACATGAAAATAATTAAAGTATTTGTTGAGAATAATTGAGTCTGCACTCCGCAATAACTTCGTATAATAAATTTCCTATCTACTCTCATTGCCTTAGTTACCATTTATATTCTGACTCCCGGTCTGTTCCTTCTGTACGGATTTCTTTCCTAAACTTCAGGTGCATATATCCATGCGTGTACTGCACATTTCCACTTGGATCTCTTCCTAAACTGAACTCATCTCCCCCAACATCACCTCAACCTCAACCATCCTCCCAGAACGACCCTCACTCAGTGTCTAAACTAGACCTCAGGACATTTTTCCCTCTTCCTCAATCCTCTCATCTCATATTTATCTCCCAGTTCTCTACCTAATTTTTCCTAATTACTTCTTCACCCCCATGCCTATCCTGATTCTGGACACCCCTCACCTGAATGACCACAATAGCCTCCTCTAGACTATCTCCATCCAAATCACTGTGGATCGTACAAATGACATAGAAGCAGATGTGTAACATTTAATTAACTTTCCAAACATTTAGAATGTTCAGCTGGGCAAGATACATTCAGAGGCAATAAGCTGTCTATGCCTTCAGGTTCATTGAAGTTAGGTCTGACCAAGCATCAGCTAGAATGCCTCCATCACATCCCGGTGTAGCATGCATTTGATACTTCTTTTTCCTTCATCTGTGCCCCTTGTCCCCCCCCCAGTTCCCTGGGGTTTTGGAATGGAGCTTTTCCACTGAGCAGCAAACCTTGGAATGACTATGCTTCAGGTATTCATTTTTTCCACATTCAGTTTTTATTGAAATTAACTTTGTTTCTAAATTCAGCATCAGTACTAAATTTTATTTATGTCTGAATATACCTTTCCTTGATAATTGGTACTGATGTCAAGTAAAAATAGACCTATTACCTAGTTGGTACCTTACCCAGGCTACATAAACTGCTTATTAGGTTTACCAATCTATTTTGGGTCAATTTTCCACCAATGTATTTTTATCCAAGCTTATTGGTGTCTAAATACACCTTGACATGGTAGGACAATATGGAAACCACAGCAGATAATTAATAACATTATGCAGTTTATAAAGTGTTTAAAAATATTTCTAAAACCATGTAACAACAACAAAAAATCACCTTTTTGTTATTTTATCTAACTTCTGGTACCTAAGGTGGCTAGATATTTAAAAAATGGTGTAAGGATTTTAAACATTTTTCATTGTTTAAATCAGGTTAGTTATCATGAAATCGTAATTGTATGGCACTGTTCCAGGCACTGTTCTGACTGCTATACAAATTAACTCATTTAATTCTCATGCCAATCCTGTGGAACAAGCACTGTTATTCTCCTCATTATTTAGACAAGGAAACTGAGGACAGGGGATCAGTACTTGTACATGATCTCACAAGGAGCAAGTGACAACCTAGAATCCCAAAGGAGGCAGGCAGGCTCTGGCGTCTGGGCGGAGCTTCCTCCCTCTGCTATCCCGCTGGGCAATGGGCTACTGTGTGAAGGGAGCCTCATGATGTTTCCAGAAGGACTCATGTACTTACTGTACAGTTTTGGTATTATTGAAAGCCAATACTCAAGCTCGATATATTTCATTTTTTTAAAGACTAAATTGTTCTAGAATATTCATTTTTGGAAAAATCTTGGTTCTGTTACGTTCTATAAACGGAGAATTTAAACTTATTGTGAAAATTTAACCCTTATCCCAAACTATTTACTATTTAAATCTTAATTCTGTTTTTAAAAAGCCATTTATAAACTTTTACTTATCTCTTTTGATAGTGTCATGCTTAAAAGCACTTACTGCTTCATAATCACTCAGCATGCCCCTACTCAGTCACTGAATTTAAAAAGAATGAATTTTTTTTCTTAAAAATTAAGGTGCCTTCTGTATTAAGCTCAAGATGGCATGCTGTGGTTGTCAGCTTTTCTTATGACCCCCGCCATCCACGCATAACCTATCCTCCATCAGACACAGTTAGCTGGAGTGGATCAAAGTGTTCCCCAAACTACAAATCTATTAGAACTTGGCAAGCCCCTTCCATAGACAATGAATGCTTTGGAGCCAAAGGAAGAAAAACTGAACACAGCAACCTGGTTTCCTTTCTCCAAGAGCTAAATAATAAACCTTCTACTGTCCCTTTCCATTCCCAGTGCTCCTCCCTTACCTCATGCCCTCCTTTCAATTTACTGAACTAATAAAAATAACCCATGAGCTGATATTCAATCTCCATCAGCTCTCTTCTTTAATTCACCAATCATAATATCTTTAATTACAACTCTGATCATATCATGCCTGATCAAACAGTCTTCAAGCCTTTCCCTTTATCCACACCAGACATACCAAACAGTCTGGGCCTGCTCTAATACTTCCTGATCTCCGTTTCCAGTCTTGTCTCCACTGCTCCTTCCAGATCAGCCCAAATCATGGTGATTGTCTTAAGCCTATTTTATCTATTTAAAATTTTTTTTATTGTTCAAATACATTTGTCTCCATTTTTCTGGACACCACCTTCCCCTGCCCCACCCATCCCCACCTCTTACCCTCAATCCCTCCCTACTTTGGCTTTGTCTATGGGTCATCTATACTTGTTCCTCAGTTTGACCCTCTCCTTCCTTTCTCCATTACTCACTTCCCTCCTTCCCTCTCCTTACTGCCAGTTTGTTTTTTCTTTCAGTGTTGCTGGTTATATTTTTCTTGCTTCTTTGTTCTGTTGATTAGGTTCAACTTATAGGTGAAATCATATGGTATTTGTCTTTTACCACCTGGTTTACTTCACTTAGCATAATGCTCTCCAGTTCCATCCATGCTGTCGCAAAGTGTAGCAGCTCTTTCTTTCTTTCTGCTGAGTAGTATTCCATTGTGTAATGTACCATAGTTTTTTGATCCACTCATTTACTGATGGGAACATAGGTTTCTTCCAGCACTTGGCCATTGGAAATTGTGTTGTTATGAACATTGAGGTGCATAGGTTCTTTTGAATTGGTGTTTTGGGATTCTTAGAGTATAATCCCAGCAGTGGAAACACTGGGTCAAAAGGCAGTTCCATTTTTAGCTTTTTGAGGAAATTCCACACTGTTTTCCACAGTGGCTGCCCCAGTCTGCATTCCCACCAACAGTGCACTAGGGTTCCCTTTTCTCTACAACCTCACCAGCACTTGCTGTTTGTTGATTTGTTTATGATGGCCATTCTGACCAGTGTGAAGTGGTATCTCATTGTGGTTTTAATTTACATTTCTCTGATGGCTAGTGATGCTGAGCGTCCTTTCATATGTTTCTGGGTCCTGTGTATATCCTCTTTGCAGAAGTGTCTGTTTAGGGCCATTGCCCATTTTTTATTGTGTTTTTTTTTGTCTTCCTGGAGTGAAGTCAGGTGACTCTTTGGAGATCAAACCCTTGTTCGAGGTATCAATGGCAAATACATTTTCCCATATGGTTGGTTCCCTTTTCATTTTGCTGATGTTATCTTTAGCTGTGCAGAAACTTCTTATTTTGATCAAGTCCCATTTGTTTATTCTTTCCTTTATGTCCCTTGCTCTAGGGAACATATCAGTGAAAATATTGTGTGGAATATCTGAGAGTTTCCTGCTTATGTTCTCCTCTACACCTTTTGTGGTGTTGCAACTCATATTTAATTATTTTATCCATCTTGAGTTTATTTTTGTGTATAGTGTAAGTTGGTGGTCCAATTTCAGTATTTTGCATGTAGCCGTCCAGATCTCCCAACGCCATTTGTTGAAGGGGCTGTTTTTACTCCATTTTATGCTTCTGCCCCCTTTGTCGAATATTAATTGACCATAGAGGCATGGGGCTATTTCTGGGCTCTCTATTCTGTTCCCTTGATCTATGTGTCTGTTCTTATGCCAGTACCAGACCGTTTTGATTACAGTAGCCTTATAATATAGTCTGATGTCAGATATTGTGATGCCTCCTACTTTGTGTTTCTTTCTCAAAATTGCTGCAGCTATTTGGGGTCATTTATGGTTCCACATAAAGTTTTGAAATGTTTGTTCTGTATCTGAAATACATCATTGGTATTTTAATAGGGATTGCATTGAATCTATAAATTGCTTTGGGTAATATGGACAGTTTGATGATGTTAATTCTTCCAATCCATGAATGTGGTATATGCTTCCATTTATTTGTGTCTTCCTAATTTATTTCTTCAGTGTTGTAATCATTTTCTGAGTCTATGACTTTTACCTCTTTGGTTATGTTTATTCCTAGATAGTTTATTTTTCTTGTTGCTATAGCAAATGGGATTTTTTTTGTTTTATGATTCTGTTATTTCATTGTTCGTGTACAAAAAATCCTTTGATTTCTTAATACTGACTTTATATCGCACTGCTTTACCCAATTCACTTATTATGTCAAGTAGTTTTTTGGTGGAGTCTACATGGAGTGTTTTCCATGTAAACTATCATGTTATATGCAAACATGACAGTTTTACTTCCTCCTTTCCAATTTGGATGCCTTTTATTTCTTTTTCTTGTCTGATCTCTGTGGTTAGGACTTCCAGCACTGTGTTGAATAGAAGTGGTCAGGCCTATTTTAAATGCCACCTCCTTTAAGATGGCTTTTCTCTATCCCTAAATTGGAGTTGCTTTCTCTGTCTTCTTGAAGCTCTCTTGTTGCACTTAACTCTTGTCACTAGATTTGAAAACTTTTGGAAGAAGCAGTTTCTGTGTCTTACTCATTGTAGTAACTGCAGCCCCAGTTTCAGTATTGACTCTTGTGCTTTGTTTAAGTGAGTATTTGTCAAAGGAAGTTTTGACAAAAACATGTGTAAATTTTAAGTGTCATGAAGTGCTGAGCTCTTTGTCCCTGACTCTGAGGGGAAGGGTAGTGATGACAGGACCACTAGAGGAGAGTGGGGGACATTTTCAAGCTAGACTCTTAAGGCAGGTCATTGTATCTGTCAGAGAGTCATTAGCAATTAGGCTTCAAAACCTTGTCTTGAAGAAAATTTCTACTCAAGAACGAGTTATTTACTCAAGTGTTTTTGTAAGTCAGGAACTGATGAAAAAAGTTCTAATCCTTTCCAAAATGTCTCTGGTTTTCCTAGAAGAATCGCAACTCCAATGCTGGGGACTTTGTCACCAAATAGTCTACAGAAGGTGCTCATTGAAAGGTTGGTCCCATGTCTTTTCCTGAAGAGGTATTTGTGAAAACCTGAAGAGAAATTGAATGTGCATTGCACTGTGTGTGAAGCAGGGAAGTGTTTTGGCTGAGGTGGGGTGGGGGCAAAATCAGACTGCCATACTTGCACCCTGTATCTGCCATTTTCTAGCTGAGAAACCTCAGTATCTGGATTTGTGGGTTGGGGATAGTCTTATTTCCTAAGCGTTTGAGTGGATTCAATGAGATAATTCAAGCAAAGCCCTGAGACCAGGGCTTGGAACATACAAGATACTCAACAGGTTTCAGTAACTGAACAGAAACTGTTCCTGGTAGTCCTTACCACAACTGTATTAGATCAGAGGAAGTCATATCTTTTTTGCATGGACAGGTAAACCAAGTCTCAAAGACTCAGACTAAATAACTCACCCAAGGTCATACTGCTAGTCAGTTGCAGAGTGTAATCCTCTCAGGTGTCTCTGAATCTAAAACCTCCATTCTTTTTCTTCCCCTGAGCTGCTGGAATTCTTAAGAAATAGTTTTACACATGAATATCTTCTGTTATATCAATAAATTTGCCCAACTTATGCCCTAAAGGAGAATCCTAAGAAAGTGTACTTATTACAGAGAACTTTTAAAAATCCGAACATTTATGTCCTTATTGGGGGTCCGTTCACCCTCCAGCAAGTCAGCTTCCTAATCTTGGGCAGTAAGTCTATGTCCTTTTTGCAACTAAATTTTAACAACTATATAGGACTTAAAATTTATGAACCTGAATTGTTGCTGCCCCCTGGTCTGACTCTTTTATTATATAATCAGATGTGGCCATCTTCGGGATTAATGAATCACAGGAGTGTGCAAGAGGTAGCAAGTGCTTGGTAGCTGGGCTGGGCTCCAGCTCAGGCTGGGTCTGGGGATGGGAACTCAGAGGCCGTGGCCACCCTTGCAGGTGTCTCTGTAGCTTTGGGACCCAGCATCCCCATGAGCTCCCAATAGCCCAGGGTCTTCCCAGTTCCTCCTGGGCACTCAGCAGCTGCTTCAGAGCCAATTAAGAGCCAATTAAGAGACCCACTGGCTCTTAATTTTTATTCTAATTTGTATTTATTCTGGTCTTGAGGTTTCTGTTAGTCTGTTTGACGGTATATATTCTTGTAAACTGCCTTGAATCATTTATAGAATAAGATTGAGTAATCAATAAGTCATAATAAAAGTCACAAACTAGTATTAGAAAAGCATTTGACTTTTGGTATAAGGGTCACTTACATATGAGTCTATCACTCATCTAGAGATCTATGAAAAGTCAACAGGAAGGCTTGTGCTTTTAGCAAGAATATTAACATTCTGGGAAGAGTAGGTGGTAGTTTGTATGTTGTCACAATGTGCAGAAAGAAAGGACTTTGCATGCTGCCAGGGCTGAGATGCAGTCCAGCCTTCGCTGTGAGTGGTGAGGGCCAGAGTCTACAGGCAGTGGGCCTGTGTGGTTCCTTCTGTCTCCTTCCCAACACTTTCTGCAGAAGTAGTTTTGTCCCCAGCTACCACAAACCCTGAAGGTTTGGCACAAACCACTTTCCCACCATAAACACTGGAGTCACTTTTGAGGCCTGGTGGAAATGAACGCGTTGGGAGACAGGAGGTTGCATTGCAAGGCAACCCTGTGGCCAGGGTGTGGCTGGGGAAGATGGGAGGAAATGGCTGGTGGAAGGTGGTAAAGTCTGTCCATACCATGTTGGTACTTTGAGTCCAAAGCTGTGGAAGACGGTGGCAGCCCAAGCAGTGACACTTATACAGAGGACAAAGACTAAAGCATTTGAACTGGTGCGGTTAGGTAGCACCATCTTTGTTAGAATAAATGGATGAAATCGCTCTCTGAATTTGGTCATGTCAGTGTCCTGATAATCACATGGACTGGATGCCTTCCTTCCCTGTATCCCTCAACTCCATTTGCTACAGAAACTCACCAGTTCCCACCACAGGCAGGCAGGAGAGTGTTTACAGGTCCACACAATGTGGACACTTCCTAGTCTTATTTCTTACTTTTTTTTCAAATTAAAATATAAATTTAAGATAGTAACTCCAGGAACAGCCTTATTTTTTTAAAAAATAGATTATTCTTCACAATGTTTTCTGCTAGGCTAAGGTGGCGTTTTTGGCAAGATATATTATGAGTAAAACCAACTTTGAGATAATATTGATTTTAGAAATCTGGTGGTTGAAAGATTACTTCTATGGAAAAATTATGACTTCTGGGCCCTATGAATAAGGCATAATCCACAATGTAAATTGTGGCATATAAATCTCCTGCAGTTTGTTAAAGGCTTTTTGATGCACTGAAGAAACACTGTAGATTTACTTTCTGTTTCCATTGCATCTTTTACTAGCCTGTGAGATATAAATTTAGGACGCCTCCTCAGTGTATAGGAATGATATAGGGCAGCAAATAGTGTGTGGGGCCCCGGGTCAGATGTGGTCCTAATGCAAATGAAAGTATCCCCACGCACGGCCCGCAGTCTCCTTTTGATGCCAGATCAAGCTGACAGAATGGACAGGAGGCAACAACTTCAGGAACTAGCTGTGCTTTAGAGAGAACAAAGAGGCCTTGTCCTTCGATATGGCAAATAGTACTAAAATATCTTGCATAAACTGAAAAAAAGAAAAAAGCCCAACCTCACTCTGGTAAAGATTTGGAATCCTTCAAGGGGTTTCTTTTTTTCTCTCACATTCACACATATATTATAAAAAAAAAATCATGTGTGGTTTTCCTAAGGGCACACCAACTAATTACAATTTTAAAAGCCCTGTTGAATTAACAAGAGTCATATTTTGTTTGCTTTGCAGGAAAACTGCTGGAGTTGCTGCTGCTTTGAGATTTTTGGAAAAATCAGCAGTTCTGATGCCTTGACCTCCATGATGACTGGTGGCCTTGGGAACGTGGGGGCTGCTGCACTGGAACACAGAGCACCCTGTTCCGGGGGGACTCCCAGAGCTTTGGTTCCAGGGGTACAGACAAGCCCTAAACCTTTTTCCTCACTTTCCACGCTCCATGGTAGTGCACAACTGAGAAGATATTTTCCTGCCATCTTGAGTTTTTTACTTTTTATTTTTATTTCTTGATTTTAGTTATGGCACAAGGGGTGCTTATTTCTGCCATTTCTCAGTTTACTAGCATACTCATACTGGAGATTTATTTTAAAACCTGGAGGATGCATTTAGAGGGAGAAAACTGCTTACAGTCAATACACCATGCCTTTCAAAAGGGTAATTATATACTAGGAAAAAAATTCAAAGTCTGGTGCACACTTGAACACTAAGTTTCTCAGGTTTCATTATTTTGATATGGTTTGAAATCAGGTAAATCCAATGATAAATAATTTGCTTTCTGGAACATAAGCTTTCTTTGAACTCTGAGGCAAGAGACATCAGACATTCTATTTTCCATTTATTACTCATTTTCCTCCAAGTACATCAGTTTCTCCCAAGTAGCTGATTCTATTTCAAATGAATAACATGTATTTTTATAATGCATCCTCACTTTCTTCTGAATTAATATTCATCTGTGTGAAATACTCTGGTTTTGAGAGGTGGTACAAGAGATATCTATTTATGGTTGGTTTTTAAAAACCTTTGGAATAATGTTAACAGTGATGAGAGCTTTTCTCACGCTGTACTTGTCAAAAAGAAAATATGGGTCTTGTGCATCTTGTGGAAGGACAGTGCTGTGCTTGCAATGTTGAAGTGACTTGGGAAATGGTCCTCAAGTAAACGCAAACAATTGTCAAGCCTCATGATCTTACCTACATGGAGTCTCACAAGGCTTGGTGGTTGTGAAGAAAGGACATTCAGAAATCAAAGGTGATAGGGACACCACTGCTCACTTTTTTTGACCTAACAAATAGAATTTCCAGTTGGAAACTTCTTGTTCCCAAGCTCCTGTACCATTTTATAATAGATATTTAATGAGGGAAATAAGCTCTACTATGTAAGGCACAAAGGGGCACAGGGTCACTCAAGAATAAAGCATAGAATGGTTTCTTTATGAAAAAGACGTAGTGCAAAGCTACACTTAACTCCAATTACACACCCAATACAAAGCTCACCGTTCAGCTTCTTATACTGTCCTCACACTGTCCGTTTCCAAATAACTGCTCTACTGAGATCAGCTAAAAAAGTGTCTTATTTTTTACTGTAAATTGTTCTAGGCTCTTGCTGTCACAAAAACAATGGAATGAAATAAGAATAACTTGGTGGCTATATAAGTGAGGGCAGTTTTAACTTGTATTGGCTTTTCTGCATTATTTCTCATATGCACCTAGTGAATCGCTATGGCATTGCCTGTGAGCAACTATCTGAGCAATGTCCTTATTTTCATGTGTAAGGTAAAGAGGAAGTAGAGAAAGAAGAAAATGTTTAATTTAGTTAAGGCCACATGCCAATTTAGTGGTCATGCTAGCTATAAAACTTACTCTTTTCTAGCCTTGGCTCTTACATTATAATGCATTTCTTTTTTTTCCTTTGGCCTATGCATTTATCCAAGGTTGGTTTCTCCTGTTCCTGTTATGTGACTATGCTTAAAATGTTTAATTTAGTTTCCTTTAAAAAAAGTCCTGTGACTGAAGTGTTATATTGCTGTGCTATCTTTAGCTGATGGTATTCATAGAGTCTGGAAAAATACAAGCCAGTACACGCATTAATACTCAGACCACAGAGAGTTGGCATTAACTCAAATGCTAAATAAGACACAAGGGTCTGATTTGAAAGCCCACATGGAAGGCTTTTCAGTCCTGTGGTGTGCATTCTCCACCAGATGGAGCAGAGGTCTTTTGTGTGACGTGCAGTTTGCATCCAGCTCCCGTTCTGCCTCATGTTGGCAGATAAAACTTTCCCCAAGCCCCACCACACATGGAAGAGACAGCTTAGGTGAGATAAAGGAATTATTTCTTCACCAGATGAATCCACCGATGATCCTATATTTAGTGGGTGTGATTTTTTTTCACAAAAGGTTTAGAATGGGGACTCTACTTTGAAAGTAGATCTCCTTTGAATTTTCACATTTGGATGAGGAGGCCTCCCCATGCCAGCAGGGTGCCTTTTACAGGAGAGTTGAGGATAGTTTGCAGTGCAGAGTTGATTATTACAGTCTAGCGTTAGGTGAAAGGGGATAATTTTAAGTCTCCTGCTTGTTCTGTTGCCTTCTTCCACACCCACGTGTGGCTGTTCCAGCAAGAACCCCAACTGGGTAGATTGCCAATGTGATGGCAAAGGAGGGTTTGCACAGCAGAGGGGTCAACTGGCATGGACACATATAAGCTGAGCCTGGCTAGACTGGAGCTATTGTGATCGATTTTTCCAAGAATCCATTAAGATTTGAGGGCCTATATTTCTGCTCCAGCCTCTTAATGAGGTTACATGGCTTCACTCACTTGAATTAGGCAGTTGCCATTCCTTTAGTAAATGGAGCAAATTAAACATTGAATTGGCACTTCCCACTGCCTGGAGAGAAATAAACCTCACAAACTATTACAGCAAAAGCATGTCCCCATTTATAATTTATGATACCTGCATTTACTCAGAATCTGTTGCTACTTAAAAATCAGGGAGGAAGAGCTCATGCTCCTATTTTTGGCACAAAAATCTCTGAAATGGAAATGGATTATCATCTGAACTAACTTGGGAAATAGATTTCTAGGATAAAATTAGATAATTCTCATGTTTGTTGAGTACCATAGGTTTCTTTTTCAGTTGTTTTTGCCTGACTTAATATTACTTTGCTTTCTTTCCTCAAAAATGTAAATAGGCATGTTGCCACTGTCATGGCATACTTTGATGTGTGTTTTGAAAGGTGTGTGAATACTTATATTTTCATAATTTTTATGAAAATTAATGTAGCAAACTTTATCTTGTTTTAGAATCAAAATGTGAATTTGATATTAAGGAAATGAGGGTCTTGCTCTTTATTTCATTCCTTTTTTTTTTGTCCCTCCTGCCCCACTACCTTACCACAGCAGTTTGGCAAATGTAGCCAGTATACATACAATGTGTTTGTTCATTTGGCTGTAGGCCAGTTGAGGGAGCATCATTTGGAAAATTCGCCTGTGAAAGTGAAGTGGCAAGGAGACCGAGGACACCTCTCCAGTTTAGCTCTCCGTTCTCTGGTAATTTGGTCATGGGTACAGGGTACACCACCACTGCCCTTCAATCCTCCCTAGCCATGATGATTCCAGCTTCACTTTTGCTCTTTTTTATTTTATTTCTTACTTCTTTCTCTTTTTCTTAACTTAGAGTCAAAGTTCATCTTTGCATTCATTATGATGTCCCCTTAAAAGCCTTTTTAGAGTAAAAATTTATTTCCAAAAGTCAAACTGCTTTCTTTCCTAAAGAAAACTTGATACTGAATTTACTAGATGTTCAATTCCTAGATTAAGATTACTTCCTTGCATAGCATGAGTCTACAGTGTCTCATACTAGAAATTCTATATATTTCCCCTAGCTCCATTTTAGTCAGGTGTGTTTTTCATAAGTGGTCTTTTACATAAGCAGTTTCACCTTCAATGAAGGCTTATAACTCAACTACTACTTATTCAGAAGAGCACAAAACATATATTGAGTGTTCATGTGTTGCCTTACATATATTTTGTAGTTGTTTCAGCTGGTAGACATCAGTGGATCCTTCTGATGGAGTGTATCTGGGTGGATAATAAATAAAAATGGATTCATAATGTGGTGATTGCATATTTCATGTACATTTTTTATTTCTGAATATCATTTCATTCAGCTGTATTTCATCACCTTACAAAGATGTAATACAGTCATTTATATGTCTTATATTGAAGAATAAATGTGGACCTTATACATATTTTGGTTAATGAGCCAAATTATTCAAGTAAGTGGTCTTCACAAATGCAATGCAAACTCTCTCCTTTATGACAATTCTGACATGTTAAAACATATGGCATTAAGAACTCGAGATACCTTAAAAGAGTGGTGTCACACTTATAGGAACCCCAGAACCATCTGCAGGAATATAGGCTAGTTCCATGGAGGAAAAAAACTTCCCTGTTTACTGAGATATAAAGTATATAGTGTCAGAACGGTGTTTAATAAATTATTAAAGCAGTTAGTGGCAGTTCAATCCCTTTAATATACCTCAGTGAATATTTTTCAGACCCTAAAGAATGTTTGCTTCAGAAACTCTACCACTGTCTTGTTTGGAAATGCTACTGTGACTGTTCAGCTCCCAGGCCTGCCTACGTATCTGAGGATGACATCTGGGTCCATGTTAACATTGACATTTTAGCCTGGCAGTGATTGACTCTCTTGGTGTCAACAAAATCCTCCACCCCAACTTGGTTTGAGACAGCCCCACAGAATTATCTATTGTCATAATTGCAGGCATGTGTTCTCATGTAAAGCAATCCTGTCCATCTTTTTTGAGCCCCAGGCTTTCCCCCCTTAAACTTCTAGGTGAGGCAGGCATTTTAACTTCTTCCCCGAAGTGAGGAAAACTTATTGATCCTCTGATATTCTGTGATATAACAAGAACTATATATTTGGTCTTTGTCCCTGGATCTTGGCGCAGAGTTCCTAAAACTCTTGTAATTTCCTAAGTGACAGAGGTGAGAGGAGCATCTGCTGTTGTTCATAAACAGCCACTTTCAATCATACCAGAGTCTCCTCAACTGAGGTGGCTCTTGGAGGGTAGGCCTGGTTGCCAGAGGAACCAACCATATGATTAGTGGGTTGAAACTTTCAGCTGCATCCCTCCACTTTCAGGGAGGGGAAAGGAGCTGGGTATTGAGTTAATCACTAAGAGCCAATGATTTTATCAATCATACCTATGTAATGGAACCTCTATAAAAAAAACCTAAACAAAGGGGTTTGGAGAGTTTCTAGGTTTGTGAACAAGAACACATTAATATGCCAGGAGGGTGGCACTCCAAAGGGACAGAAGCTTCTGTGCTTAGAACCTTCCCAGAACCTTACCCTGTGTACTTTTTCATCAGGCTGTTCACTTGTATTCTTATTATGTCATTTATAATAAACTGGTAATAGTAAAGTTTTTCCTTGATTTCTGTAAGCAATTAGAGAAAATTACTTAACCTTAGTAGGCGGTTGTGGGAAGCCTTTATTTATGGCCAAGGCAGACTGAAGTTTGGGTAACCTGGAGACCCACCACTTGTGTCCAAAATGGAGACAGTCTTGTGGGACTGAGCCCTTAACTTGTGGGGTCTGTGCTAACCCCAAGTAGTTAGTGTCAGAACTGTTTCAATGCAAGGAAAAAAAACCCCCACACATTTAGGGTCAAAATGTAATGAGTAGAGAAATAGTTTTCCTTTACCCTCCAGTGTTGGCATGCGGTAGATCCCAATGGAAAGCTCCACCCTTTCCTAGATTCTCAAAACTAGAGTTTTCAGGGGACTTCTGATAAAGATGGAGGCGTAGGTAAACACAACTTGCCTCCTCACACAGCAAACATTACAACTAAATGTCCAAAACAATTATCACACAGAATCATCAGAAAATTGAGTGGTATGAAGTCCATCAACCAGGGAATTAAAGAAGTCATATTTATCCAGATGGGTAGGAGGAGTAGAGACGCAGAGATGGCGGAGAGGTGTGGAGACATGAAGATGAAGAGACATGGAAGAGGAGGTCCCTTACTCACATGTGGTAAATAAAAATATGGGAGGAATACCTTGGGAGCAAGGGATCCCAGCCCCACACCAGACCACCCAGCCCAGGGTTCCAGTGCCAGGAAGATAAGTCCCCATAACTTCTACCTATAAAATCCTGTGGGGGTTGGAGCAGCAGAATAAACTGTGGAATTCTCAGGAGTCTCTTCTTAAAGGGCACACAATAGACTTAGGACGTACACAGACTCAATCTGTCTGGGCTCCAGCACTGGGGCAGCAATGAAAGGGCACCAGTGGCATATGGGGAGAAAGTGAAGTGTCTGGCATCAGGGTGAGTGCCAGGGGACAGCTTTCTCCCAGACAAAACTCCTGAGGTCAGGCAACAGATTTGTGCCCTTTCTGAGCCCCCCTCTCTCCCACACAAAGCCACAGAGTGGTGACAGCATATAGGAAAATCCATCAAACTGGTTCACATAGGTTGCCCTGTTCTGCTGATTACCTAAGTCTCCACCCCATTCAACTTACCAGTGTACTTTTCTACAATAGGCGATGCTACTAAGACAAGGAGTCAAGGCAGCTCTACTTAATACATAGAAACAAACACAGGGAGTTGCCAAAATGAGGAGACAAAGAAGTATGGCCCAAATGAAAGAACAGAACAAAACATCGGAAAAAGAACTAAACAAAATGGAGATAAACAATCTATCAGATGCAGAGTTCAAAACACTGGTCATTAGGATGTTCAAGGAACTCACTGGATACTTCAACAGATGAAAAAAACCAGTAAGAAAGGAAGGCTACACTAAGTGAAATAAAGAAAATTTTACGGGGAACCAACAGTAGAGCGGATAAAGCTGAGAATCAAATCAATGATTTGGAACATAAAGAAGCAAAGCACATTCAATCAGAGCAGCAAGAAGAAAAAAGAATGCCCCCAAAGAAGGACAGACTAAGGAGCCTCTGGGACAACTTCAAGCATACCAACATCTAAATCATAGGGATGTCAGAAGGAGAAGAGAAAGAGCAAGAAATTGAAAATTTTTTTGAAAAAATGGTGAAAGAAAACTTCCTTAATTTGATGAAGGAAACAGGCATACAAATCCAGGAAGCACAAACAAGATGAACACAAAGAGAGCACATGAAGACACATCATAATTAAACTGCTAAAGGTTAAAAATAAGGAGAGAATCTTAAAAGCAGCAAGAGAAAAGCAAAGAGTTACCTACAAAGGAGTTCCCATAAGACTCAGCTGATTTCTCAAAAGAAAGTTTGCAGGCAAGAAGGGGCTGTCAAGAAGTATTCAAGCTGATGAAAAGCTGGGCCCTACAACCAAAATTACTCTATCCAGAAAAACTATCATTAGGCTTGAAGGGCAGATAAAGTGCTTCCCAGACAAAGTAAAGCTAAAGGAGTTCACCGTCATCAAGGCATTATCATATATAATGTTAAAGGGACTTATTTAAGAAAAAGAAGATCAAAACGATGGACATTAAAATGGCAATGAATTTGCAACTATTAACAGTTGAATCTAAAATAACTAAGAAAACAAGCAGAACAGAAACTGAATTATAGATATGGAGATCAATTGGAGGGTTATCAGCTAAGAGCCAGTATGGGGGGAAATGGGAGAAAAGGTGCAGGGATTAAGAAGTACAAATTGGGGAAAGTCAAGGGACATATAGCAAAAACTCATGGACAAAACCAAAGGGGAAGAGCTGAGGGAGGGAAGGTGGGAGGGGGCAAGGGAAAGAGGGGGGGGGAAGGCAGAGACAAATGTATTTAAAAAGTAAATAAATTAATTAAAAAATAAAAAAAAATAATATTAAAAAAAAAAAAAGAAGTACAAATTGGTAGGTACAGAATGGGCATGGGGGTATTAAGAACAGTATAGGAAATAGAGTAGCCAAATAATTTATATGCATGACCCATGGACATGAAGTAGGTTGGGGATTCCTGGGGGAAATAGAGGATACCTGGTAGAGGTGGAGCAAGGGGGAAAAATTGGGACAATTGTAATAGCATAATCAATAAAATATATTTTTTAAAAAGACTAGAGTTTCAGGTCCTAGGCCTGGAAGATAAGAATCGGTCATCCTCCCTGGCTCTTCTCCTGGGGTAAAGTGGAGTGGGGAAGTCCCCCTCACCATTCCCACAAAGGAAGTGCAATGAAACCCACTTCATCACTTCCTCTGAGCACCAACCTCACCTTAGGATCCAGACCCATTGGGAAGATAAAGGCTTCTCGAGGTTCCTCCCTTAATAACTTATTTTTATAGCTTCCCATGGAGCTGTAAGACTCTCTGGAGAACTTGTAATGTATGTTCCCAGACACTGCTGAGGGTACAAATAGGGTCTCATGAAACATACTAATCTGTATTTAGCTAGCTCATGGCCTCAAGTGCAGAGTGGAGGTCCTCTGAGCCCTCTCAAAACTTACCCAGTTATTTCTAGAGCTTTCCAAAATAATCTTAAAGTTTAGGAACCAGTGTGGCAGGGAGGGTGACCTCTTTCTTCAGGACACCAACTGTTGCTGCACCAGTGCACCCTAACAACAGCTGGGCTTAGCCAAGGGCACTGCCTCCTGGCTCCCTCAAGAGACCAGCCTTCTAGGTACCAGTGATGTATTTCCTGGAATCCCCATTACACTAACGCTATGTGCACAGTCACATAGTCACACAGAAGTGCAAAGAATGTTCACTACCCTGTCAACCTCATTCTTCATGCTCAGAGCTCAGAAAACTAGGTCATCACAACTATTAGGATCTTCTTGTGAGCTATTAGCAGCAGGGAGAGATGAGTGAAGCAACAGTCCCCCCATAACCTGACTTTTAGATGGTATTTGGTGCAGTGAAATTCAACCAGGTTCAGGCTGAATGATGAACAGTTAGTACAGACAGTTACACACACTGCTGTGTGAGCCCAGTGAAGTCCCAGCTGTATGGTCTTTTAGGCCCTTTGCATGAAAGGGTCACTCAAGAAGATGTGATGGTATTCTAATGGCAAGATCCAGGTAACTGAGTCGTTAGATCAGATTATCTCATCCTCCGTAAGTGGCTGAACAGAGAACCCAGTGGAATTTTAAGGTTTGGGGACCACTTCCAAGCACATAGGCTTCTGAGCTTTCTTGATTCCTATACTATTATGTAAGAATTATTACATTATTGTTATCATTCTAATATTATATTCTCATTCTTCTTTTAAAAGTGTCGATGTCTGCACAACAATTCTAGCCAATCCATATACTTTAAACACAATATACTTCACCACTTGAAAAAAGTCATTTTCTAGTATCATTATGCCAGTTTCAAATTCTTTGGGTGTTAAATGCACATAAGGATATAAGTCAAGATTTAACCAACCAGCCACCTTATGCTAATTTTAAATGCTACCTACCAAACCATGAAGTATATATTATTGATTAGATTAGTATCTTTCAAATGTTAACCAATTTCTCTGCCAGAGTATTTTACAGTAAATCACAGACATCATAGATTTGCCACAACGTCTCACACATTTTTTTCTAAAACAATCTCTTTCAGCTTTTAGCCCTCACTTAGCCTATTGAGGATCATACAGGAATGGGCTACAGATCCTCTTCATCTTCCCTCTCTTCCATGAAAATTGTCTGCTCCAAAATGCACATCTCATTAAGCCATCAGGCCTGTCTGAATCCCTGAATTTCTGCCTGCTATCTGTAGTGACATCTCTACCTTATAGAGTTAGCTAATGCTTATGAATCATCACAGAGCTATTAAATAAGAATGTTTTCCATCCCTCTTAACAGCCTAATGAAGTAAGTCCCTAAAGTAGATATGGAACAGCAAGAACCTTATGCACGAGGGGACTCTAGGGAACACTCATTTCTTCCAGAGAGATGGCCCTTTCGTGTTTGCATTCTTTTTAAAATGAAGATTCTATGATTTTCTGTGGAGAGTTAAACTAGTGATGAGCAAATATCCTGCTTAAATAACAACCTGCTTTGTACTTCTTCATCCCTAATCCCTAATTTTGTGTTGGTGAGTATAAACTGTTACACTCTTCATACCTTATAGATTTCCCTGGATTTCATGACTGGTTTCTTGACTCCAGTCTCTTTCTCCTCTAATCCTTCATATTGATGATAATTCTATTTTTGAAACACAAATCTAATTATATCACTTTAAAGTTTAACCTTTACCTAAAAAAATAATTAAACTCCTTAGTGTCATGTTTAAGATCTCATGTACTAACATGGTTTATCTTACTTTTCAACACCGCTCACCGCATTTTCCCCAATCCTCTCTACTCTAAAGGTATAGGAGTTATTTCCTTGGCCTCAGCAGGGTCATCATATGGAATCTCTGACCAAACTAGGTTTGTAGACATGGATCTTTTTGAACACCACAGTTGCTAAAATTTTGAATTTAATGTGTTTAGACCATTCAGTCACTAACAAATGGTTCAGACAATTTGTGCTGTTATTTCTCCTTATCACAGATGACTAGCGCTGGAGAAGACCATGAGGGAGGTTGGAGGATCCATTTCCCA